TTTTGCCAAAGGTTTTGCTGATATTCTTTCAAACTCCAAGCTCCAGCAGTACTTCTTCCAAAGTTTAGACCTTGAAGATCTTGATTGGATGCTGCACGGGAGTGAAGACACCCTTTCTGTTGAGGATTGGAAAGCACACACCGAGTATAATGGTTACAGTGAGACAGATATTCAGATCTCTTGGTTTTGGGAGGTATGTGCATGCTGCTATTATTAAATCTCGCAAAGTTTGTCTCTAAGTTCTATCTCCTTTTTAACGCCTGCTCTGGTTGGTGACAAGTACCTGCAATGTGATGTTCTTTAAGGCTGTCTCTGCTTCCATTTTATCAACTGAACAAAGTGTGTTTTATTGCCTTGGTACTTCTTGGAAAGCATCACTATGGTGGTTACTTTGAAGTGTCCATTTCCCTAAGGGAATTGTTTTCTATTGACTGCTGTTGGAATCCACTTTTTAACTTCTCTGAGCAGCAATCATGCTAGTGTGCTAGAGTCCTCAACTTTGTTACTGTAAATTTTTCCTTCCCTTAATTCCTGATAAGCTCAATCTTTGATGCGCCTCATTATTATCGGAACCTTTTTTCTCTAATTTTTGTTGCCGAAGCCTCAAATCTTATTATGCCTTATTTGCTAGCAGACTGTTCATTGCCGTAGCCGTGCGTTCCTTCTTTGAAACCCTGTCAAAATTGTTATGGTTGTCAGTTTTGGCCCTTTTTCTGATAGCATCTAGCTTTATACATTTTGAATATGCACCTCTTTATGACTAATGGTAGCATACCAATATATATTTTTGAATCTTTCGTAGTGCAAGCATATAATTTCATCTTTTGTTTAGTCTGAATATTAACTTCCTCGTCTTCATTTAATTTGTCAATGATCTCTTTTTGAGTAAATATGGGTGGTTATCAATTAGTTCTGGAAAGCTTTCCAAATAACTCGGTATTTTATGATTTGTCGAGAGATCTTAGTTTTTTCTTTTTTTTTTCTGTTGAAAAACACTTTTTAACAGATTGTTGGGAGTATGACAGCTGATCAAAGGAAGGTTCTTCTATTCTTTTGGACATCTGTAAAATATTTACCAGTTGAAGGTTTCCGTGGTTTGGCTTCACGACTCTACATATACAGATCCCTTGAACCTGGTGATCGCCTACCTTCATCTCACACATGCTTTTTCCGGCTGTGTTTCCCGGCTTATTCATCTATGGCTGTCATGAAAGAACGTCTCGAACTCATCACTCAAGAACACATTGGGTGCAGTTTTGGTACTTGGTGAACAAATACACCTTCAATCTGGATAAAAGTGGTTTTGACTGCACATAGATTGTCGTTGTACAGATTATATGAGTGTTCCCATCAGTTCTCTAATTGGATACTGTGACATATTTCACCAGTTCTCTATTTTCCAAAGTAGTGGAGGGTTGCAGTGGCATTGGTCTTTATCAAATGTTTATATGGATAAAGTATGAAATAAAACAGGCTTTAAAGAAAGAATATTGATCTCACTTGTGATCTTAGCATTGCTATTGTGGTAAGTAGCTTATTTTGTGATGCCATGGACTTAGGATGGTAGTGCTCAGGATGGATCGGGTTACGGCCTAAAGGCCTGCTGCTTGCTCCCTCCCTCAGTAGAAACACCAAACTTTTTAAGTTATCTGTCTTCATCTATAAATTACATTCAAGTCTAACGACTAATTTTTTTAAAGTCATTATTACTATGTTATGAGTTCTATGCAATTGTTTAGCTATGATAGATATAGTAACTACTTTGTCACAAGTTTTGGTTTCATTGCTTCTAATCCCTTAAGATAAATAGGTGTATGAAATTTTTAGGCTCTTTAGTTGCTGCATATTTTTGTTGTCACGTTAATAGCGAAACAGAGAGAATAGACAAAGGCAAAGAGAAACAAGAAGCTGGAAACAGAAAGAAAGGATGAAACAAAGTATTCTTAAATTTATATTGTTTTTTTCGTTATTTTTTCTGTGTTTGTCTTAAACCATACAATGTGAAAGACTAATTTTATACTAGTGTGAGAAAATTTCCTTTTATTTTTAATCACTTTTTAAAGAAAGAGAAGTTATATTTTAATAATAAGAAAAAAAAAATTACATTTAACAACTCAATATTAATATTTTAATATTTTTTAACTTTAAATATTAATATATTCTATAATTTTATTAAGGTAGATTATCTTTAAGAGTGTCAATCTATCCTTAATCTTTAATGTTTGAAATTCTTTACAGTAATTTTATTTTCTTTAAAAGATATTTTTCTCTGATTTTATTTTCTGTAAAATATTTTCTTTGATATTCATCTATGGAAAATATCATATATATATATCTTTATTAGTTCCTAATATTCCTTTTTAGATAGATAAATCACATTTATTTTACGTACTTTAAGTTATTTTGAAGTGTAGCATACTTTTATTATTTCACAAAATTGATATTGAGTTACTTTGAATGGTCATTCGATTTTCTGTTTAACACAAAATTTATGAGTTATTATAGAAAGATAAAAAAAAAATATTGTCTACAAATATCAAAATCATAATCCAATCATTTTAAGGGGCTTAAACATTTTATCATATCACCATCCTATTTGAGAAGTTACTTACAAAGGAAGAAAGAGTGTTCACTGCACTTTTTGTAAAATAAGAAAACCTCTATTTCATTTGTAAAATATAATATAAATAAAGTTAGAAATTATGTATGTTGATATTGATTTTTGAACTCAACATTTTCTCGTGTAAATTTTTTACTGTAGTCACATTGAAACCTGATATCGATTATTTGATCAACGTATAAAAATAATTTTCAAATATGCAAATTTGAAAGGAAAAATGAGACAATTAACTCTCATTACTATTTGCTGAGCTTTGAAAGATTTGAAAGGAAGGTGAGAGAGACGTGGGTTCAATTTCTTTTACTAACAAATAACAAATAACATTTCCTCATAAAAAATGATATTATATATATATATATATATATATATATATATATATATATATATATAATTCAAATGAATTTATATACAATTATAACTTTTTTTTAACTGTGATTATTGATTTTTTAAATTTTTATTTTTTTTAAATAGGTATATTGTCGAAGAATAAAAAAATAAATCATTTTTTAGGAGTGATAAAAATAAAAGGTACAAGATGAAAACAACCCAAATTTAACTATTTCACTTATTTTGAAACATGATAATAATGATTGTTCAATTAGATAATTGTGTAACACATGTAAAACTGTAAATCATGGATGAACAGATGTTATATGAGCAGCATATTAATAATAATTCGTATTATTTATAAAATAAATAAAAATTATTACAACTAACGTTTTAAATTTATTTATATTTATTTTATAATTTTCTGTTTTAATAATTACTATAACATATTTTTTATTATGGATTTTTATATTCAATCACTTATCTAGTCACACACTTCCCTTTTACTTATTTTCATTACTTTTCTCCGCTGTTATTTGCATTATTCTATTTATATAAAATTCAGACTATTTTTTTATTCTTTGTATGTTGTCACTCAATCAATTTCATGTACACTTCCTTTTCCTGTTTAATTTCATCTTATTCACGTATTGTAAAAATTAAAAAAAAATAAAATAATAGATGTAAAACATATTTAAAATTTTATTGGGTGTGAATATAATATTATTATTTTCAAAATTCTAACAAAAAGGTGTATAATGCAAATATATTAGATTTGCGTTGTTGATATCAACTTCTTGCAGAGATAAGTGGTCTTCAGCAAGTTTAGCTTTTTGGGTGGATCATATATCAATTCTATTATTTTTAGAATTTAATTGAAACATATTGATTTCATAATTAATTGTAATGGATGGATACTTGTCAACTTAATGAATTGGACAAATAAAAGATCGTTACAACTTATTAATAGTTAATAAAATAATGAAAGTTTAATGGGTCAGTTTTAATTATAAATTCATTTTAATATATATAAATATATGTTTGACAAACAAAGTTATTAATTTGAGTATTAGAATGTCTCTTTCATACAACTTAGAAAAAAAAGGAACAAACAACATAATTTAAATAATAGAAGATGATCAAGGAAATCTATCTAGTCTTTAAAATAACTTTGAATGTTTTGAATAAAGAATTTCAGTCGTTATCCCAAACACTAATTATTTTTATATTACTATAAAATAATGTAATAAACTTTTCATTTAATTCAAACAGAAGATATTTTATATCTTTACACGTTGGTGTGGGCTAATAGAGGAATTTCACCTTATGCAATGCATGGAAAGTATAGAAAAGTTACAAATTATTAAACACAACTTGATTTGAAAAAAAATCTTGTACGGTGTTTTGTGATTTAAAATAAATAAAATGAAAAATAAGGCAAAATAAAATTCATAATATATCAAAATGAATTAGTTCAATTATTTTTATATTCATAAGAAAAATTTAATTGCATTGAAGGTTTGTCCACAGATATTAATAAAAAGTCTAACAAAGATTTATCCATAAAAATGTTGTTGTACCCATTAATGTAAGAGACGTGGAAATAAAAAACTATATTAAAAGTTGATATACTTGGATGTTACTGTACTTAGATGAGCCAAAAAAAGATTACATCAACACTAATAAATTTTGTAAGTTCACTCATTAATGAAACACATTAATTGAACTATATTTTAAACATAGTGCTGAAATTTGAGTGATTGATAATATTAAATAATTTAATTGTAGTTATAGGATAATATCTTCCCAGTAGTGTCTTGAGGGAAATATTAGATATTGATAAATTCATGTCATTTAATGAATTATGCAAAAAATAATAATAATAATAATGATGAATGGAAAGAAACATTTAACCATTACGATTTCCTACGTATTAGTCAATTTATTAAGAGAAATTTAATTTAGCAAAAAAGCACTTTAAGTCTCATTTAATATTTAATGAAAAAGTCTATCTTTATATGTAAAAATGAATAAATTACCAGTATAACATATTAAATTCGACCTTTATATGTTTACACTACTAAAATATTCTCAAATGTTCATACAGTAATAAACATAATCTCAAAAATATTAGAATAATAATAATAATAATTCTAAACACTAATATGTATCAAACACTATATATATATATATATATATATATTAAAATGTGGTGAAAGTATCATTTATAAGTTACACGCTTTGTTTTGAAAGTCAATTCGCAAATAGTATCGTTTTCCTTTGATCTTTCTTTCTTGGAATTTAGCAATGTTTTCTGCCTCTGAAGCTTCTTATGTTTTTAATTTATATCATTATTATAATTTTAAATCTGAGTCTAAGTGTTATATTTAATAAAAATGAAAAAGTAAAGTATCTTTAATATATATTATTACAAAAATAATACTTTAACACATTCATTTGATACACTGGTAGACTTATCTTTACTGAATTTTCAGCACAGTACTAAAATTTAATGCTAAATGTAGTTGACACGTATGTGAAGGTACCACGACTTATATCATTATTATAATTTTAAATTTGATTTTAAGTGTTACATTAAATAAAAAGAAAAGTAAAATATTATATATAATTAAAAACCTATTAATTTATTATTTTAAAATTTTAGATAAAAAATTCTGTGAATCATTTATGTAATTAAACTCAGTGTTATATTATGAATTTTATCCTCGATAAACTTAACAGTCATGTTTTTAAATACATTAAGTTTCAGTCACTTAAATTTCTGCGCTGCGGGAGGTTCCAAGTTCCAATCCGAACATGTACTAAGAACCACTGCGTGTGTTCTTACCCGATTAGTATGTTTTATCCTATACTTTCACAGTTTGACAACGTTTTAACACTTAATATTATAATAGATAATGATACTTTGACAACATTTTAACACTATCTATCTGTCATTTTGTAATTAGTTCAAAATTACTCCACAATCAATAATAATAATCATAAACACTAACATAGAACAATCACAAAATGACATGTAAATGATCTTAAAATGTTGTCAAAAAAATATTATCAAAGTATCATTATTTTATTATAATTTTAGATCAAACACAATGATACATAGATAATGTTAAAATGTTGTTAAAAAATATTCTCAAATATCATTATCTGTTTTATAAATGTTGCCATACGAAAGGATAATGATACTTTGACAACATTTTTCTTTACAACATTTTAACACTGTTTACGTGTCATTCTGTGATTAATCCAAAATTATTCCACAATCAATAATAATAATCATAAACACCAATAAAGACCGATCAAAGAATAACATGTAGACAATGTTAAAATATTGTAAAAAAAATATTGTCAAAATATCATTATCCATACGAAAAACTCCACCAGAAACAAACAACCAAAAAAGGTTTTAATTGGAATGGAGAAATATAAAATGGTTTAGAAACATGCGTCGCGTTCTGATCTTTACGCAATATTTTATTATCTGATTGTTCTAGTAGGAGCAAGTTAATCGAGATTCGTGAATCTTCAGGGTGAGAACATGGAAGATTGGGATGCGAAGCCTTGTATTTTCATGTTGGTTCATAGTAACAAATAATTGAATGCTCCAAAGGCTGCTCTGTCCTTGTTGGGGACCAGTAATGATATCCAAAGTGATCAGGCTATCATAATGGCTTACACGTATACTTTACCTAATACTTGAAAAAGATTACACCTTCTGAGTTGGAAATTTTCGACTAAAAGTAGCACCATGTCGAATTTTTGGGGGGAGAAGGAAGTAATTATGAAATAACTTTGGAACTAGTAATTTTGGGTAAAGAATTGATCCTTAAAGAAAGGAAAATACACAATAAACCCGGTTATGCTTGTAACTGTGCATCTTCAAATAGAAATGTACGATGTAACAAGTTGTTGTTTACTTTTTTTCTAAGGAGACAAAGGATTAATTGCAAGCCTGTCAGAAAAGTGGCATTGTTTGAGAGTAGTTGGTGTAACTCAAAGTACAAAAAGTAATAGTAATTCCAAATGGGAGTTGAGTTTCCTTGAGTGAGTTGAGGTTAGACATTGAGAATTGATAAAAGAAAATGCAGGGGCAACCTAGGGGGGCCATATCTTAAATACAATAATATACTTCTTGCCTAGCTCAATGTATCCATTGTCATTCTAAACAACGAACCTACTAACTGTCAGACAACATTCAGTTTACATATGTCAATGAAGAAACAGATTAAGGAAGTTACAGGAATAAGTAAAATGTTCCTGTATGATCTAGCAACAGCCAGAAACATACAACTACGCCTCTCTGCGGTTCATGCGCTGCACAACAATAAAGAAAAACCACAACAATTTGTCAGTCAATTTCCTAGTAGGCTTTAATACAAGACTCGTTAAAAAGTCAGTGTAAGAAAATAACTTATGAACGTTGACAGGGAGTCAGGAAGGGAAGAGATAAAAAAGAAAAGAAAAACACAAGATTGTTGACGAAATGATCCAGAGATTAGGAAAAAACACAGTGCTAGCACAATAGGTAAACATAAGATGAAAGGAAATGTTAACCTTACGTGGGTGTCTGGCTGTTTAAATAGATGATGGCGCGCTAACATCTCTGGTATTCCTAGAGCAGAAATGCTTTCACACCCAAGTAGCTCTTGAAGCTTTGCATCACATAATATCACCATTGCGTTTAAAGGGTCCTGCAATCAATATGGAGGAACATTCTCATTATTAAAAGCAACAGCTCACCAAAGTAATTTTTGAAACAAATATCATTAGAATATAAGGCCTTTTCTTCAATTTCTGTTACTTTTCAGCTTTCAATCAGATTTTGATTTCAAGAACCTTTCATTGTCCGAAACAGTTTAAACTCTATCAGAAAATACTTTTTTTTTTCATGTATGTATTGGCTCTTAACAGAAGGTTAAAGAATGTCTGAGCATGTGAAAGATTGGATAATGTGATGAACATGCAACACACCTCCAAATGGTGATGCTTGATGTACTCCCAAACACGTCTTATGGCTTCAGATTGTTGCATCTCTTTTCCTTCAGTACCCAAAAATTTGGCAAGTGCTTCAGATATCACGACGGTGGATGAAGCAGGTTCAGCACATTCAATTTTAGTTTCAACGTCCACCTTCACTCGCTTAGCTTGTGACTGCTCTGGAGTGACAAAATTCAAAGAATATTAAAGATTATTTTACTAAAAAAACAACAAAAACCACTGGTAGAAAAGATGGTAATGCAGCATCCTCATTTTATTTGGGTTCTGAAAGATAAATTTTTCGATAAGCAGTCATAGGAGATAAAATTAAGAAGGTAAAAAAAAAGCTTTTAGAAAGGTTAAATAAAAATAACTTATTGCATCAAAGTTGAAAGTGGATTAGTTGTTTTTAATTTATGGGAGAAACTTATTCATTTCACCTTCTTATTTTCTTGAAACGTGTTTATCCAAACAGGGCATTGGCTATTTAGTACTTACTTGAGGGACCAAGTGGGATAATGTGTTTAGCTAGCAACTGATTCATCTTGAACATGTCAGTGCAGTCTGTCTCAAATACCAAACGCAGTGCATCATCACATATTATCTTCCTTTTGTTACCAGGATCCTGGAGGTTGTTTTTCTTTATATATGCCCAAAGCTGCCTCACAATCTGCATTGAGCATACCAAAGGGTTGGATTCCATATGAATTTTTTTATTAATGGTTTATTCCAGATAAATGAAGATTCATGCTTTTACAGTAAATGCGAGGGATCTAACTTAGTTCGGTAAAAGAAAACTACCTCAGTTCTTGGCAATGCAGGCTCACCAACAACTGCCTGAAGCTCAGGAGAAACACCACAAACTTTGTTTAGACCACCAGCACCACCTCTTCTTTTGCCTCCAGTTTGAACACTGGAAAACCATTTATAAAGAACGGCAACACAACATCTCGTATGTTAAGTCCATAAACCCATTCTTAGTACGATAGAGACAGATTGGAGAAAAATATTACATATTCCAAGCTAACCAGAACATGAGACCAGAAAACTTGAAGAAAGTCATACATAGCACGGGCTAGCAAACGCTGATTATGTATATGTGGAAAAATAAAAACACACACATATATAAGCTATTTTTGAACGGTATACTAAAAATGCATTTAAAATTCTGAAACACGTCCAGGTCAATGGAATGGGAATAAATACACAATAGGGGTAAGAGAGGGCTAAGAAACAGGACTACACAAGAGGACAATAGTTAACGAAAGAGATATTTGGGACCGGCGTGTTTTAATAAGAAAAATTATTATTATTATTTTAACATAATAAAACCATCAAATGGAAATGACATGACATGAACAAGTTTACAACTATTTTACCAAAAAAGGCGTCAAATTTCAAAGAAAGGAAACCACGGTAACCAATAATAAAGAAAATAGTATCAAAAACCAACCAACCAACCATTAAGAGTTTCCAGAAATGGAACAGTACTCGAACTACATACAGTAGGAGATCAACCCAAGATCGCAACCGTACTTCGGACGAAAGCGAAAGCGGACAACTCTAACCCTAAATCGAAGCAAACAGAAAAAAAAAACTTGGAACTAAGATCTAATTAATTTAAGCGACAACAAGAAGCCCCAGGAAGACCCAGTTAAGAAGTTGAAGATCAAAACAAAAGGGCATATGAAAAACCGCACCTTACTTTGGGCGCTTGAGGTGAGGCAACAGTGGCAGCATTTTCAGGAAAGGAATCAACTTTGGAGGGCGGAGGAGGGTTGGGGTGCTGGAAGTTGATCTCGTCATGGAGGGCAAAATGGGAAGGAAAGTGAGTGGTTGGGAAGTGGTGTTGGGGGAGAGGGGCGAAGTAGTCTTTGTGCAGAGGAGGAGGAGGGTGAGGAAGAAATGCACGCGGTGGGTGAGAGCGGAGAAGAAGGTCGATCTGGTCGCGGATGAAAGCGGCCTTGTGAGAGAGGTCTAACCCTAGCTTAGCCTCGAGCTGCTGTACGACGGCGTTTACAGTGGTTATGGAGTTGGGGTCAGAGTGACGCAGTAGAGACTCGACCCCTTTAGCTATATCCTGGTCGGACACCATTCTTGTTCTTCTTTGTTCACCACCTTCATATACCAACAGAAAAAACGGCTGCTTATACCTTCTCTCTTCTGCTTCTTCTCTCTCTCTTTATAACATCGAAATCACAAAAGTACCCTTTATTTGAAAATGGTTTTGCAGTGAGAGAGCAGTGGTTGAGGGTGGAATCGTAAAAAGGGTAAAAGTTGCAGTGAGAGGAGTTGCTTGTTTTTGACGTTAAAGATGAATGAAATGTGACTTTGGGAAGGAGGAATAAGGTAAAAGTGAAGCAAGGTGGAATTACGGTAATGCCATTTGTGTAATGTGGGTATGTTCCGAAAGAGAATGGTGTGGTGGGACTTACAGGAGAATCCGTGAGTGGTTGGGGATTAGAGGGGTTTGGTCAACTAATTAAGATTTTGAAATAGGTGGGCCTTTATCTATAACTCAGCTACCATAGTCAACTTAGTAATGGAGAATTCTTTCATTCCTAGGCAAGCCATCAAACGACCATGGCCCAGTTTATTTAACCATCTTTCAACATACCCAGATCTGGACATCTATCATATCCTCCTTGTTTTCGACTATTTAACATTAACATCAGGCTATAACTATGTAAGACATAGGTCTATATGCTGTCTCACCTAGTCCAACATTATATTATTATACAAAAATATCATATAAACAACAAGCTAAACTAATGAAAATTGTTTCGGAATATTGTTTTGGAAAATTGTTTTGATATAGGTCGATACTTTTTATACAACTTTTCTCACGTTTTCTTTCAAGTTAGTTTAGATAATTATAAATGATTTTAGTCAAAACTTTTTTTTTCTAAATTTTAAACCGTGTGAATGTATCTATAAAAAATACTTTAACATTTAAGTCAATGATTAATCTCCGAGGATTACTAAAATTTTAAATTTACAATAAATATAATTATCTACTTTCTCACATTTCACGTCTATTAATAAGTTTTGAGATAAAATTATGATTAGTGAAGTCTTAATCATATTCCATTATTCACTAAATAATTTTTACTAGTAATCTTGATTAAAACTATGTTTAGGAATTTTACTCTTGATTAAAACTATGTTTAGGAATTTTTATTGTTAAAGATTCTACATCCGTTCTTCTATTTATACAATCATACAATCAGTTAATAAATAACATTTACTTATTTTTGGTTAGATGAAATATGGTACTCTTATCTATCGTTCCTGTGGCCATAGTAAAAAATAAAAATATTCAAGGTTTTGAATCCTGTGTGCTTTTTTAGTGTATTTAATTAGCCATTTTTAAAAAATTTAAGTAGCAAAAATAATAGCTTTACTCAAAAACAGGATCAAGCAAGTAAACCTGAATAAGCAAAATAAGTTGAGCCTCACGCCTCAACTATCTGATGGTAAAGGAAAATGATACTTAGACAACAAATTTTGACAACATTTCGACACAGCACACGTGTCAGCGTTTGAGCGGCCCACGTTTTGGTTGGAAAAAGTTGCTGCGTTCTGAGAAAGTCTGATGAAACCTGCTTCAACGCTGACGTGGCGAGGACGGGCACGGGCACGGGCAGATTGGGGTGTGCGTTTCAAAAATTAAAATGACGTGGCAATGACAGAATTGGGGGCAGATTCAAATTTTAGGGTTGTTTCGAAAATTTGAGATTCAAATATTTTGAGAGAGAGAGAAAACGGAGAACATTTGATGGAGCACCTTCTTTCCTTCTTTCCTTCTTTCCTTCGAACCAGCCACCACAGCTCTCGCCGGATACGCGCCGCCCGTAGACGTTGCCGTTTTCGCTCCATCCAGTGCCGCCGGTGTCCGTCGTCTTCCACCCAGCCACGCAGTTCCGTTTGCGGGTCGCCGCAGCGCCAGTGTTGGCAGACGAACCGAAGACGGCATCGTCTTCCCTCCGGCCCAGCCAACCAAGTTTGCGTTTTGAGTATCGATTCCTCCCACCCGCTTCCTTCCCTGTGCCGGACCCTTGCGGTGGCCGCCGGACTGCCGTCGGAGTGTCGCCGGACCAAAAATAGTCCCACTTGGTCCCTTCCCTTCCCTTGATGATATTTTATGGACTTGCAAATCTCTTTTGCCAGTAAACCAACTTCCTTAGATTGTACTGATTCATTGGATGGTAGAAATACATAAATTTGTTGCAATATATGCTGTCTTTTTGGACGAATTTCTCATAAACTATGCTTAGAATATATGTTCATTAGATTTGATAGAGTATTGAGATCAAGTTCTTTAATTGCTTGAATAGACCCAAAACTATTTTTGTCGTTCTTGGATTTATTTTGTTAATTTGAGTTGACAAATCATGATACAATGATAATTTTGTTTCGGTTCTTACATGTTTTAATCACATCTATTGGTTTGAAATTCCACAGGAGACTATTGGATGACTGTTGATAATGGAATCATTAGGTAGGCAGACATAATTGGAGGGTTGGTGGAGTGGGAAACATTAGTGGAAGTTTGTTAAGTGGGAATCATTAGTGAAG